CAAACAACTGTGGTCTGGGCAACGCGTAGTTTGTAGTTTATAGTTTGGTTCCGCTTAGGCCCCAATTGTGTTTCAGTTCGGTCGTTTGTGCATTGTTAATCCTCCTGTGTGTGGTTCATACCGAATTCGGCTAAAGCAGATTTTGGCCCGTAGACACAAATGGAAAACATGCTTGCTAAAATGGTACATTTCATCACATCATTTTTGTCACAAATGTGTTCTATCTCTCTCTCTCTCTGGTCTGGAATAAATACACACACACACACACACAAACTACAACCTCCACCTCCCGTATCTCAATCCTGTCACAAACGTGTGACTGCTGTTGTTGTTGTTGTTTTTGTTCCCTTACCTTGAACATGTGGATCGATATCGCGGTTATTGAGGGACAGACGTTTGCCCGGGGCATTCAACTTGCTACCGTGGCCACGCTTGTTTCGGGAACTTCGTTTTGTTTTCACCCGATCTGATTATTCACAGACGAGTAAATCCCCGCCGAACTTGCTCGATTACACAATCAGGGTGCCGACAATAGCGCCCCCGGGGGGGGGGGGGGGGGGGAANGGGGGGGCGGGGAACGTTTTCGATGAGGTTCTGTTTTGCGCAACTTGTCTGTCTTCGGACACACCGATCTGTAGTTATCAAGATTGATCCAGGTGAACAGCACGTGTTGTTTGTTTCACGTTTATACACGGTTGCTATTGTTGTGATTGTTGTGATGGCTCTTCACTTGTCGGAGAGCGGCTAGTTAACTTTTGCTTAATATCAACCGTCAGATTTATTTTGTTTTCCTCCAAATGTCGGCAGACTGATCAGAGAGAAGTACCAATCGACTACTGTGATGAAAGATGCGAAATACTCATGTCTTCTGAGACAGTTGGAATCAGCGGCCACCGGGATGGGAGGGGGAGCGGTTGAGTTTAATTCGCTTAGAGACAGCTCTCCAAGAACAAATTCAATACGTCAAAATAATAAACTGAGATATGTGGAGCTCGTCGGACTGTGTCCATTATCCGTCGGAACCCCACTGCCGGTCTTTTCAACCGTTGCTTCCAGGGATAAAAAAGAATTGTCGACTGTTGGAGACTTGTGCGCATCACACCATTCACAACAAAGTAAGCTGCTAGATTGCCACCAATTGCCTGCACCTCTGCTTTACTGAACATTTTTGAACAGTTTATGCTGAGTAATATTATTCCTAACCCACTGGGCAGCGATTCGTTTACATCAAATAACGTTCTACCCTAGATACCCTTGCGCATTTGATAAACTCAGTTTTGCGATCCCCAGACATGCACAGCACAGCGTTTTGTGTGTGGTTCCTCGACTTTAGTAGTGCTCTTAAGGTTGTCGACAAGGGCCGGCTTTTATCTCTACTCCAAGGCACTGGTTGCCCCATACTACCCTCTCTCTACTACAAGATTATTTTGCTGGTAGGACACACTTCACAAAGTTTAATGGAAAAATTTCTGACTCGCTACCGTCCAATTCAGAATTGCTTCAGGGAACAATTCTGTTCCCTTTTATTTTTTCCTACTATATATATATATATATTAGGTGATTTCCGCTTCTCACAGCTTCAAACCAGTTTATCTGCCTTAAGTTTATGGTCTTCCTATTCCAAGTTATGTCTCAATACCTCTAAATGTAGGGATATCACCTTCTCACTAACCAAAAATAGAACAGCCACATTGTTTTGAAAGGAACTGTTGTGTACTCTATGTTGACAAAGAGCCTGTTCCCCCCAGTATGTTCTCTGTAATACCTTAGTGTAACTATCTCCCAAGATCTCACCTGGATTTCACATTTAAATCCTAATTTTGAAAAGATTCTATGATTGTGTTTCTTTATTTCCCGTTTGCGATCTTTAAAAGTTCCACTCACCCAATTCGTATATTTTTGTGTTGTTACTCTGTTTCTCTACTGCTCCCCATTTTTATTTGCCGGTCTTAGAGTTCAAGATTACACAATTCTACGCCGGTCTATTAAAGTTATTTCTCGCACAAACGATATTCCCTATTTGCGCTTGCTTGACTTTATCGCCGACAAACATTTTACCTCTTGCGATAAATTCCGCAAGAATATTCTGTCAGATATCACACCCATTACACACAGAACTTAAACAATGCGTGCCCACTTCTGTAACTAGGTGTCGTTATAAACTGGTGTATGCTCGCACCACTGCCTATCGTTTGTCCGTCATCTCCTATCTGTCGAGATTTTTGGCTCAAAAGGCATCCGTTAGGGAAGACTTTTCGAATTTCCTACGCAAACGATATCCATTTTCAAACATTCACGCCACATTCCTCGTAAATTTACAATGCTGTATTTTACTTTTCCTCTGTGTGACTGACGATACGATAATAAATGATCCTGGTGTGTGTGTGTGTGTGTGTGTGTGTGTGTGTGCAAGAAGCTGAGAATCCATCCATTAGGATGATTAAAGCGATTTTTGACTTGAGTCCTGGTCCGATCCAAATGCGATCATTCCAAGTGACACTTTCCACCATTTTGATCTCTGATCTCGAAGTGTATTGGCTGTGCCGTTATTCAGTAATTAGGGGGTAAAGGCGTTTGGAGAATATGACCGTATCGGATTGATGAAACCGACGGGAGATAATAGCCACCAGTGTTTTTTCGCGAAAAACACCACTATACTAACAAGTTCATCAAAACTTCTAATTCTTTTTCTGATTCTAAGACAAAACAACAATACTGACCAGTTTGACATGCCAAACTTGTGCTTCCCCGGGATTTGAGTGGGCAATTTAGCAAATCCAATCCCAAATTGGCACCTTGAAAACAAAACAATGACGCTTAGACGGGAACGTGTTCCGAAGCAAGACGGATAAAAGGGATATCAAAACACAGGACTGATGTCGTGTGAACCACTTAGGTTCTCAGGAAACGCATCTGACCGCGTCATCTTGGTAACAAAAACAGGCACTAACACCTGTCCTGTGGAATCACACAAAGCGTCTCTGCGAGAGACAGACAGAGACAGAGGGAAGAGAGTTACAGGGTATTGGGATCACGCTGATGGATATGAGTGATGCGATAGATCTGTGATATTAGTGAGAATATTGTTTGCAAACGTTTCATTGGCTTTGATGCAGTAATGGTAGTAGTAGTAGCAGTAGTAGTAGTAGTAGTAGTAGCAGCAACAACAGTGTTGTGAGATACTACTCACACTTGTGAGTAGTTCGCAAAATTCCTTTCAACAGTAACTACAGTGTTCAGTAACTACAAGAATGCACATCTAATAGTGGATAGTTCCATTAACTATCTCACGTGCGGTTGGAAATACTGAAGAGTCATTCCAAGTACGATATTTTGTTGGATGAATGCTAATTTACCGATAACCTGACCGTCATTCCCAGTGAGCAACTATGCTCTACCAAACAGCCGTTTTGGGGTATAAACATAGTGGCATTAATAGTAGTAGTAGGGTTGATGGAGATGTCCGCAGATAGAGGAAAGAGACGCCATTCATGGCATGCAAGCCACAAAAGATGGTCTGCAAGTCTTTCTTAAACGAAATCGGGATGGTGACGAGGAGGTAAGTGCAGTGAAGTAAAATAGATAGGATACGTTGGTGTACCAGTTTTTGTTCAGATGCACACTGTCCAAGGCTGTTAAATCGGGTTGGTCAGTTGCTGATTGGTGACTGGATTTATTCTCACGTGTTCATTGACCGGGAAAATCAATGACGATTAGGATTGAAAAGAACGTGACACCTCATCCAAAGAATTTCTCGAGACTTGGTACTGTTCGAACTGAACTAGATCTTGTGTTTATGCCAACGCGACTCAAATAACAAATCACGCATAAAAAGTGAGCTCGCATTGTGACCTCACAGCGGATCAATAAAACAGGTTTACAGGATGGAAAAACCAACTCTCTTGGAGTTGGATTAGTGTATGTAACAGTCAGGATATTGAATCCGATCTCTGAGGAAAACCACCAATGTCAGTGAACGGACGGTGGCAGAATACTACACAATCCTCGGTTGCGAGGATGTCAGCTCGTTCGGTAATGTAACGGTTTTTAATGAGCTGCCCAGAGTGGCGAACAGATGGAAAAGAGTTAATGAACTAAGCTGTATTATTCACCGGGCTGTTTGTTTCGTACGAGGCGAATAGTCCAAGGAAGGTAGCAAATAAGAACCTTGGTTTGGTATCCGATGTCATTCTTGACTCCAGGTGTATGTGTTTGATACGCAGTATCTTATTCGAGCATGATATCTGTCCTATCTATCTTCGTCTAGACGTTTTGAACTCAGTCAGATCTTTCACCAGACATCTCACCTGACGGTCATTGGAGGAAAACTTACAATCTAATCTAAACCACATGAAATCTACCAAGTGATGGAATATGTGGGGCTTTTTTGAGAAATAATATTTACAGGAATGGTTTACCTTACATGTTGTCTGGACGAATGGAAATTATCCAGTTAGCTTGCCCGAGAATCGATCAAATAAAAACCGGGGGCTCGATTCTCGCCCCTATCGACCTACTAATTATACAATCCTTACACA